GCATCACTAAAACATACAATAAAATACTTAGACATTTCTTTTGGCCTGGGTTAAAGAAAGATGTAGCTCACTTTTGTCGTTCCTGTCATACCTGTCAGTATGTGGGACAGCCAAATCAGGTGATTCCACCTGCTCCCCTCTCTCCCATTCCCGTTATTGGTGAGCCCTTTGAGCACATTATCGTGGACTGTGTGGGCCCCCTGCCTAAAACAAATCTGGAAACCAATTCCTTCTCACAATGATGTGTGTTGCCACCCGATTTCCTGAGGCAGTTCCCCTGCGGAAGATTACTGCACTTGTCGTCGTTAGAGCACTAATAAAATTCTTTTCTACGTTTGGATTACCGAAAATTATACAGACTGATCAGGGTACAGGAAAATCTCGGTTTTAGTCCCGCGGAGCTCGTATTTGGTCACACGGTTAGAGGGCCGTTAAAGGTTCTGAAAGAGAACATGATGACAAATGAGACAGATCGTAAAACTAACATCTTGGATTATGTGTGCAAGTTCCGAGAACGACTACATACCACTTGTTCTCTTGCTAAAGAGTCTCTCGCTGCTCAGAAAGGCATGAAGCGCCTTTTTGATGAGAAAGCAGTTTCTCGCTCATTTAAACCTGGTGACAAAGTTCTGGTTTTATTGCCTGTCCCTGGTTCAGCTTTGTCGGCACGTTTTGCTGGGCCCTATGAAGTCATAAGGAAAATCAGTGAGACCAATTATGCTATATGTACTCCTGACAGGAAGCGCCAGTCTCGTGTATGCCATATCAACATGTTAAAAGCTTATCATGATAGAAATGCGCAGGTCTCGGCTACAGAAGAGGTGAAAGAGCCTATTGTTTCTTTGATGGCAGTAGTCTGTACGGCAGAACCCTCCACGGTTGTGGATGGGGCAGATGAGGATGGTATTGTGCTGCGCAACGCTCCTCAGCAGTGTGCCCGGTTGCATAATTCTGAAATACTGAGAGATTTGCCGTCACATCTCAGGCATTTAACAGAAATGCAAAGGAATGAAATTGTACAGTTAATCTGTGATTTTCCATCACTCTTTGCTGACATCCCTACACAAACTACAGTCTTACAGCATGATATTAATGTTTTGAACCCGGGATTTGAACCCGGGACCTCTCGCACCAAAGCGAGAATCAGTCCCCTAGACCAACTCTCTTCTCAGCAGGATCCCTAGCAAGAGCATCCAGAAACTCCAGCACATACAGAATAGTGCCGCTAGGATCCTAATGAGGGTGCGTAAATACGAACATATCACACCAATTCTTCAATCATTACACTGGCTTCCCATTTCCACTCGGATTGAATACAAGGTCTCCCTCCTCACACATCAGTGCATCTATGGCAATGCCCCCACTTACCTTAAAGAACTCCTCACCCCACAGATTTCAGCACGTCCCCTCCGCTCTACAAACACTCATCGTCTCCTCCCCCCTAGGACTAAGACCCGCACCATTGGGGATCGAGCCTTTTGCGCCGCTGCTCCTCGCCTATG